ATCCGCCGCGACGGTGGGATTGTGAATCCACTTAACAATCATACACAATCAGAGCATCAACAAGAAGACACGACTTCAACGGATTCATCATCCGCTGCTTTTCCCGTCTACTTCTCAGCCATTTAAAAACCTCGATCATCCTACAAAACCTTCGAAATCTCACCAGAATCGGCGAAGCCGTGTTTCAAATTCAAAACCTCGTCCCGTGGAGAAATCGGATGTGAATTTTGCTGAATCCGATTTTGTAGATTGCTTAGCTGATGAATTCAGTATCTGCAAATATCGAACAATACATGTAAAGTAAGTTAAAAACATCGATTTTTTGAATTAAAATCATCATTAAGATATTAACAAATAAACCTTTAGATAAAATCTTGCATCCAAATTGAATAAATATATGCATAAGGTAAATATTAATCTCAACCAATTTAATTTATATTCCATATTAATTACTCCATCATAATCTTGTTATCTCGCATTTTTCAAGTTCATCAATATTTTAAACAAATAATCAATATGAGATTTCAAAGAGAATTTTTTTTTTGAAGGGCATTTGCAAAAATGTCTTTTTCTATGCCTTTTTTCAAAAATAACCTCTCATATTGTTCATTTTTAAAAATACTTCATGTTATTTATAAAATGACTAAATTACCATTCTTCTGGTGAGAGCAGATAATAATAAAGTGAAATTTTCTCTTATCCTTCTTTTGATTCCCTTTTTATATATTAAAAGTAATCAAAATATAAAACAGACGAGAGAGATTGTTTTAAGATCAAATAATTATTACACAACCACCGAAAGTCTTAGAGAGAGAGAGATATGCAAAGTATCTATACTAGTATTTTTGAAGTATATTTTTAGTGGATGGGGCAAAATGCATTTGGATGTAACGGATATCCGATCCGTTTATAAATTTTGGTCATAAAGTTTGTTGGATCGGGTTATATTTAACCAAACTCATACACGAGATATTCCACATTTAATAATTTAGATATTTAAAAGATTTGATTAAGATTTAGAATTATGATTCTCCTATCATCTTTGTTTGATTTGTTTTTAACTGTTCTGAATCATCATATAATACATAAAGTAAAAACAAATCACAGGACAGGTTAAGAAATTACAGGACGGGTTATATTTCAGAACGGGGTTATATGGTAGACGAGTTTGAATCAATATTTATAAAATTTTAAAATATAATTAACATGCGGCTTTAATACGAGTTAAATCCTCAGTTTATTAAAATATAAATGTTTTAGAGAATGATACAATTTATAAACTTTTATATATAAGAAATAATCATTAAATTTTAAAATCACTACTTTTAAAAAATAAATCACAAGACGGGTTAAGAAAATTATGGGACGGGTTATATTTCGGAACGGGTTTATATGGCGGACGGCTTTGAATCAATATTTATAAAATTTTAAAATATCATTAACATGCGGCTTTACTACGGGTTAAATCTTCAGTTTATTAACAATTGTCCCGTGGACTCGTGGTATACGTTACTTAATAACAATTGTAAACTATAAAATATAAATATTTTATAAGAAGATACAATTTACAAAATTTTATATATACTAACTTTAAAAAATAAATCATCCCGCGGTGTACCGCGGATTAAAATCTAGTTAGGATTATATCACCAAACCGAGATAGAGACATCTCTTGATTATTACACAACCAGTCTTCTTCACTTCTTGTTCTTGTCTTTGCACAAAAGTGGTGACGGTGTGTGTAACGCCCCCGAACCGCTCTATGACCAAGCAAGCCACGGGCGACCCGGAAACATCACGTAGACAGCTCGCACAGATGTTCCAACAGAGGTTCCAAACGAATTCAGACCCTTAGCCGGACCATCCACGCGGGCCGTCCCTCACGAACGCGGTTTAGGCTTTTCAACCCTTACCGTGATCGCGAGTTGTGTTAGTCCGGACAAGACTAATATCGTTTGGAAACACACACTTTATATGAAAATACTCATTTATATCATATAAACTTTTCGTACAACAAGTATCCAAAACACAAACACTTACGGGCCCTCAAGCCTACACGCTCAAATCAAAATAACAACGGAAATCTACTAAGTTTTACAAAAGCAACAACTCTATACCGGCTTTCCTACGTCCTGAGCATCCCTCTAATGGTTCCCACTGAGGTTTCCTGCAAAACAAAATGGAGTCATAAGTAATCTAAGATTACTTAGTGAGCTCGGATTCCCTGCAACACATTACAATTCCAACCCAATCCCCAACAATATCAATAAGAATAAACGATATACAAATATATCAGAGAATGCACGCGGAAGCAATAACAAACAATCAAACAAGATGCATGCTTACACAGAACAAGTCCGTATAACAAGATAATAAAATTATGCATGCGACACCATTCATCTAGACTCCTCCTATGGGCCCTGATATGCTGCCTTCCATAACCACAAGTGAACACCCGAGCTATAACCAAAAAGGTATATAACCGGAACATCACTTCCTGTGAACACCCGTGCTATAACCACAAAGGAATATAACCGGAACATCACTTAAAACTTTCAAGTTGAACCTATAAATAACAACAAGAGAAATCTATTCATCGTCGTCATGCATTACTCGACCTAGGTCCCGAGTCTTATGTCAATTTATGTAAGTGACCAGCTAAAGATCAAGGCTTACTTGACATGCCGCCGAGGAAAGACAGACATACCCCTAGTCTTAATATGCTTAAGGCACCGAACATTAAGTCACGAGTACCGCATACTAAGAATGCAACACACAAGATACAATGAAACATATGGTTAGATATAACACATAGATTCATATGTATCTAATACAAATAACCACACAAGTACAAAATCATTTATGTACGGATCACAAGGATCGCGAACATGATTCGGTACCAAACCTGCATAGAGATTCAAGTTAATCAACTAAGGATAAACGAGAATCTAACATACAACCTCACACCTAAACGCACACAACCAAGCAATTGCTCGATGATACGCCTAAGCACATCACCGAGACTTGGCAATCAACAATCAATAAACACAATAGCTACTCAAACCTATTATGTGCCATATCACATGCTACGAGACTCACCAATCAATCAACTAAACGAACTAATCAATCAACCAACCCTAACATGTGCCATATCACATGCTTCGAGACTCACAGAGATTCGGCTGAAGGCTTAACACTGTTAGGCTTCAACGATCTTCAACATCCACGGCTTCACAACCTTGTTCTTGACTCCACTCAACTTCATTCAACACCTCTTCATAGCAATCACCTTGATTCTTCAATGTTTAACTCAGAATCAACCCTTAGAAATAGTATCAAGATGGTAACTAGATCATGGGAATGATTCAGAGAAAACAGACCTTGCCGTCGGATCAGATTTCTCGGCAGGATTCTCGATCAGATAGCATCACGACACAGTTTTCTCGATCACAGACGCGGATCGTCACAGATTTCTCGGTCATTCCTCTCGACTCCGCAGCAGCATCTCCGTATGTTTTCCTCCTTTTCTCTCCAAATAACTCGAACAAGGCTGAGTATTTATAGGCAGCGGAGGGTTGAGTCAGCACGTACGCGTGTCAGCCATATGGACAGACATGTACGTACTACGGACAGAACGACGACACGTGTCTGGGGCAGCTTCGGCTCCAAGGGACAAGTCTTCGGCTCCACTCCTTAAAAATTTGGCTCTAAGCTATGAAACTTGGCCTCCAAGTCAGCTTGGTCGCGAGTCGTAACTTGGTCAACAGTCGGTCAACGGGTCACGGTACGTACCGCGGTACGGTCGTTTCCGTCCGATCGGTAGGTTTCTCGACCCAAATCCATAATTCCTCAATCATCCTCCGTTTAAACGACCTTAAATTAGATATTGGTCGGACAAAAATCAATCTTGCTCGACAAATTCGTTACGGAATCATCCGATGGTCGGTAGGTACTTTCCGATACGTCCCGCGGTACGATCGCTGTCGTCTTGCGGTACGGTCGGGTTCGTCCGGGTAAATCCGGATACGTCCGGATACGTTCGGGTACTTAGGACTGATCGATCATTCACGTTCACTGGTAGGTTCCTTCGATCAACTTCGATTTTCTCTCGTCCCAACTTAATTTTTGCTCGGCCAATCTCCTTTATTCTTCTTTCTAAGTTCTTTTTGATCTTCCTTTCATCATTTTTTGCACGGCCATTTACCCTAAAACGAAGTCACTACAGTGTGTGTGTCCTCCGCGTCAGATAGTTTCCAACAAAGTACCACGTCGTCCCTTCAATCACTGTGGACGACTAGTCCTTCGCGGTAGCTCCATCAACTCCTCCTCCGTTGCTTCCTCCTCCTCTGTTGTTGTTTCCTCCTCTTGCTCTGGCGGACTTAGCTAAGAGTCATAAAATAAAAGATATGATGAGAAGATTGTAGTATGAAGAGAAACAATCCAAAAGGAGAAGGAGAGAGAAAGAGAGCACATCACCGTGATTCTTTTTGCTAAGCGTTTTACATGCCGAGATGCTGACTTTCGGGTCAATTTTTGGGATTAGTCAGCATTCCACTACCATCAAGCAGCAAACTCCTTGTGACTCTAATTGAGAAAAACCCAACAACGTGGGACGGAAAGTTAACCCCGTGATCGTTCTGTTAACGGAAGCTTAACGTCATGTTCAAAATGGCAAAGTCAACGAAACTTGACCATTTTATCAAAAAGTTAAACCAAAGTTTACAATTTAAATGACATTTCGAAAGTTCATATTTTTTCGTTCTAAATTTTAGAGTTCGCGCTTTTTTTTTGACATTTTTCCAAAAACAAAATACCATAAAATGAAAAATCTTTGAAGAATTTTTTATTTTATTTAAAGTTTTCAATTTAGACCAAATGCAATGCATGCTTCCATAATGATATGGGTTACAAGGAAATTTGTATTTTTGTGATATGGGTTTTGTTTTAAATCCTATTATCTTGGCCATAATTAGAGATACATCAAAAGTTCGAAACCAATAAATTATAAATAAATGAAAAAAGAATAAAAAACAAATAAATAAAATGTGATTCCTCGTGTATTCAGTGCAATCGTACACATAATTATAAAATTATATATTTTCCACAGACAAATATAAACCACTCAAGTAAATGAAAGCCACCGACGATGCTTCTTTCCTTCGGGCACCTCCACGTGGCTGCCCCAACAACACAAAATGCTGCCCGTTGAGCTGTAAAATCACGTTACTCTATACGACATCGTATTGCGCCGACTAAAAGTGTTTTTTTTTTGTAGGTTCCTTCCTTCAAACTGTAGTGACGGTGCAATTCTTGGTGATGGCTATATGCTTATTAAGATTCTTGTGTTCGAAGTTGATGTCACACTCGATTTTCTTGTAGAACTTTGGCTGCACTAACTTCCCCAACACGTAAGCTCGTGATCTGACGACGAAGCTGAGCGTCATAGGTACCGGTGCTGGTGGTGCGGGCGGGTCGGGAATAACAACGGGAGCTCCTTTCTTCTTCTTTGGTTTGGGAAGTGGAGCTGGAGGCGCCGGTGGGAGTAAAGTCGAACCACTTCCATATAATGGAATCTTCTCTCCGATCACATGTACCACCACTGTTCTCTCACTCTTCCTTGACTGATAAAATTTCGTGACCTACATTTTATAATCAAACACAAACGAAATCAAAACCAATTTGGTCTCATGAGTCATGATCATAACAATGGAAAAACACATCGAAAACGCGGAGATACCAACACAAATATATAAGAGACATAGACCAATCCGCTCGTCTCTTACATATTAGTGTCGATTTCTTCACGCATTCGATGAAATTTCTGAAATTAATGGGAACTTACGGATCCGGAACCGATTTTGATCTGAGAGAAACTGAGATCAATAGGAGTTGAAGTAACATGAACACCAAAGAAAGTCCCAGTGTTTCGATACAACATTCTCAAAGTCGCATTCATCGTGATCATATCAGTTCCTACACCACCAGCATCTTGACCAGCTTGGACCTTAAGTGTCTCAAACGTTATACTCTGCAAATTTCAATTACACACTCAACATTTCAGATCTGACAAATTTGGAAATTCAGAGATCTGAATTGACTTCAAATCAAAGAGCTTCTAGTTTCAATTCCTTAAAGATCTGCTAGATTCAAGCTCAAATGAACCTAAATTGAAGCAAAACACACAAATCTAACTTCAACATTTCAAGATCTGAATTAAGCTAAATTGAAGCAAGAATTTGAATCTAACCTTAACAGTGATCTTAGGTTTCTGAGGTTTAGCAGCACCATAGAGAATCAAAGAGAAGAAACCAAAGAGAATAAAGAATCCAACGATAAAAGCCAAAACATAGCAACGACGAGGAACACCACCGTCTCTATCACCATCATCTAACAAACCTTCTTCTTCAATCACCGCACATTCTTTCCACTGTTTCTCTCCGCCGTGACCTTTCCGTTTAGAACCATCGTTAGGGTTGACTTTTCTAGATCCAGGCTTTAAAGAGCCAGAGAATCGACTAGAGGATGATTCACGTGAGTGACGACCCATAGATGAGTGAGAATGCGGTGGAGATCCCATCGGACTTAGTACCGGAGTTGAGTGAAACGATGTTGCTGTTTTTTCTCCGTCGTGAGAGTCGCGTGATGGTGATTGGACGTAGTAGACTGGTCTACGTGGAGATCTGGCTGGTGATGATGCTGCGAGGCTTGTTACCTCGGAATCGGTTTTTGCGTGCATTTTTTTCCGATTTGGGAAGGTGAAGGAGCACGAAGCTTTTTTTTTTCTGTGAGCTCTGAAAATGGTGGGAGAAAGAGGAAAGGGAAAGTGAAATGTTAAACGATGAGTTTTTTTTGTCAAATTGTGTTGGTTTTTGAAGGGTATGGTTTGGTAAATTTACTCAAACGCGCTTCGTCATTAATCATTTTGAAAATTAATTAAGTATTTAAAATAGTAGTTTTTGACTTTTTGTTTTTCTATTAAACATTTATTTTCAACGTAAATAATATTTTCTCTTTTCGACTGAAAACAAATCATTTTTGTTTCCATTCTTTCAGTTGCATGATAATTAAGTTTTGCTTTTTACATTTTAGATTGATTAGCAATAGAATATGATATACATATCTTATTATCTTATTACATAAAGTATGGTTTTCAAAATTAGTAACTCACGTGATCGTGCCACCTGTTAAACTTATTGATTTAAGATTTTGCCATGTATCAAATAAATATTTTATTTTTAATAATTAAAAAAGAAAAAAATAATTATAAGAAAATTAGAAACTTAAGCAATTTTAAATGTAAAAAATAATTATAAAGAAATTTTATCTATATTTCCATAAGAGATTTACCATGTGACACACAAAAATTTGGTTTTAACAAATCAAAAATTGTAAGAAGATAATTATAACAAAATTATAAATTTAAACAGTTTTAAAATAAAAAAATATTCTTATAAGGAAACTATACGTATATATAAAAAAATTATATGTTAAAAAGTATATATATATATATATATATATGGAAATTATATGTATATTTTCATAAAAATCGAAATCATAAAATTATGCTAACTGTACAAGAAAAAAGATTTCAAAATAGAAAAAGGATTAAAGAAATTATATAATCCGTGATTAATCGTATAAGAAAAAGGATTGTAAATACTCACCTATATATAAACAAACAATGTCATGTAATAAAATAGTATGTCATACTTAAAGAAATAGGAGTAGCATGTGATTGTTAATAGAGGTGACGATGGTAGTAGTTGATGGTTACGGAGGTAGTGATAGGGTGACTTTAAAATTAAAATAAATCATGTCAAAATTATTTATCATTTATTAGAAATATATCATGCCATTTTCTAAAAATAAAACATATATGTTTATATAATTTTAGTTAAGTTTACAAAAATTTTTAAGAAATGATAATTTCGACCAGCAACCCGTGCAACGCACGGATTCATATCTAGTATATATATATTGGTAAGAGAATAAGAAGATATATATGGAACTAACTCAACTTAGTATATGTGATTTTCTTTACACAAAAAAAAAAAAAGTATACGTGATTTTAACACACAAATATAGTAAATGTGTAAGAGAAATCTTATCTAGTAGTTTCCGTTAAAAAAGTGAAGTTCACAATGTTTATTTTTATATTACTTATTTTATGTTTTGAAGTGCTTATGTTAGCAGGAGATAATGATATTTTGTTTTGATAAATAATGTCAACAAAAATTATATAAATTGTTAGTATAGCGAAGTAAGAATTGTCAATAGGAGAGTAGGAGACATGAGTGTTGCAAAAAATACTGCATGTTATAAAATTGTTCGTGAAATCGTTTATCATAATAACATATGTTACATGTTGATAGATATAATAGATTGATCATCATTTATAATACGGTTATATATATCCAAATCTTTATAATGGTAATATAGCAGATAAAATATGAATATCGTTTACTAATAACCATACATTTTTCATTGTAATTTTTTTTTTTCCAAAAGACAACAAATCTTTTTAAAAATTTATATTCTTTTAGTTGCTTGATAATTAAGTTTTTATTTTCATATTTTAGTGTGGTCAGTAATTACAAAAATATATATATGGAACTTATGTAGATGTGCATATCTACTTTGGTAACCGTTACAAAAATGTGAAATTTGCAATTTTGTCGTTGTATATTACTTCTTTCAACTGCTAATTAATGTTAACAAGAAACAATGATATTTTATATTGATAATAAAAAATTATATAAATTGTCGGTCATTGTTGAGATGGCTAATAACAAAGAGTCATTGTTGGAATATTAAAATTATGATCCTCTAGTTTTACTTTAAAATATTGCAAATGAATAGTCCGGGTTCGTTTGTTAAACATTGAAATAATATTGTGTTAAGATACTTTCAAGTTATAAAAACAGTTTAGTTGTTGTGTCACTTTCATATGATACTTAAACTTCTATCATGAGTCATGACTAATGTATTGGCTAATGTAAAATGATCGAATTAAATCCAGTGTTGTATATATGACTTGCGAGGTTATAAACATAATTATCCATTATTTCTCATCCGAATTCACTTATTCTACCAACAAACAAAAAAGAGAGTCAGAAAACTACATAATTATCAGTTTTTCAAAGAAGAAAAAAAAAATTGAAGCACCGACAAACATGACTTTTTCTATTGTACTAACCTCTAATGGTAATTTACTTAATTTAATTTCTGGTTAAATAAAAAAAATAGTATATATGATTAAATTGTCTTAACATTACACATAATAACATCAAACCACATATGATCTACAATTAACTCAAAAAAATTAATAATACAATTATACCTTCTAAGATGAAATCAAGATTGAGAAAATAAGTACTCAAATTTTAGAAAGTTTACAGAAAAAATAAAATTCATTGCAAGAATATCTATACTTTTTCTTATCATCCAACCTATATAAAGTCTTATCATACAGCTTCAATTTGTTTTCTAAAGAGTTTTTGACAAATTGTGTGATGTTTCTATCAGTTAAACTAATACTCCAACTAAACATTTTTTACCAAAAAAAAAAAGAGTATTATTCTGTTTCTATGACAGTGGAAGGTAGAAGAATACAACCACGCTCCAGTTGGCGGTCAACAGCTTCTTTTTGTCCTTTCCGTTTTTTCTTTTCTCTATTTTCCAAAATATAATTTACCCATTGTCACGTTTCATCATGTATCATTGTATCATGTAAATATCAATTTAATAATATTAAATTATTTATATAAATACCTAAATAATTCATATCATTAACTCAGTAGAGACCGTATTTATACACTTTAATTCTGCGTCGGCGGTATATATCATGGACATTTTTTTTTCATTTATATACAGTGCCGGCCAGATATGAGATCCCATACAAAATAATTTTTTTTTTTGGATTTTATCGATAAAAGTCAAAATTTGAGATCAACTCTTAAAACTTCAGAAAAATAAAGCCTATTTTTACAATAATAAATAGATAAAATTTAAAATTTGGGATAAAATCTAAAACTTTCGAAAAACTGAGGCCTACTTATGCAATAATAGAAAAAATTTAGGGCCTAATTTTGTTACTAAAAATTTTCAAAAATTTTGAGTCCTAATACCCATGTATCTTGGAAATGGGTTGCGGGGCAGGCCTGTTTATATATTCCAAAAATTCCAATTTTCTGTTAAAAAATAATTATTTTCATTAAGTCTAATCTTATAAATGATTAATTTTCACTGCCTACTTTTATTCCAAGTAAGACCGATGAAGGAAAGAATCTTCTGCCCAAACTCCTAGAACTGTTCTTATAGATCCAGTTGCAAAGAAGATATTTAATTTCCTAACCGTATCGTAATCTTATGTAAAGATCTACATAGGACCGAAAGATGTAACAGGTTTTATGAGATTGGAAGTTTTGGATAAAGTCACATGTTAAAGTTTTTCACGAATTATCAAACTTTGATAAGTTTATGTATCTATGATTCTATCATTTTATATGCTTTAGCTAATTGTTTTGCATTTCGGATATGTCCGAATCTTTCTATCTTATTTATAATCGTTTGCGTTTGAATTAAAGAATTTGATTGATCAAAAAGAAAAAAACTGATGAAAAAAAAATAGTAAAATACCAAGTATTCTTTGTAAAATATATTTGATTTCTAATCATATCTACATATATTTTTATGATTAACCAGATACATTATTTGTATTCGATTGAAATGGAAGCTTTAAACAAGTTCGTCAATGCATGATATTAATACCATCGTCCTAATTAGGCATGGACAAAATAGCCGAACCACAAGAATCGAACTGGAACTAAAGCAAAAAGAACTAAACTGGAACCGAACCAAAATTTAAAATACTTAAATGGATCCTAAATTTAGAACAGAAAGAACCAGAACTGAACTGAACCGAAATATTTTGGGTACCCGAAAATATCAGAAATATGAGTTTAGATCTAAAAATATTCGTTATTTTTAGATCGAATAACCAAAAATACCCGAAATACCAACAAATATTTGGAAAATATATCCAAAATACTTAAAATACCCAAAAAATGCTCAAAAATATCCGAAAATGCCTAAAAATATCCAAAATACCTAAAAATATCCGGAAAAAAATATCAGAATGGATCCTAAACTTCATAACCAAAAAAACCAGAACCGAACCGAAATTGTTTGGTTCCTATATGGATCCTAAACTCTAGAACCGAAAGAACCGGAACCGAACCAGAACCAAACTAGAACCGAACGGGTACCCGAACGCCCATGCCTAAAAGATAATAATAATATAGTGTGAATTAATTTTAGAGCCAACATAAATAGAATATGTAGAACCAACATGATGATGTGGATGCTGATGTGAACACCTTAGATAGAGAAAAGACTCTCTAATTATATATATACTAGTATCGGACCCGCGGTCCACCGCGGGAGAATATTAGTTTACATACGTTGCGTTTAATATTGTGTGTGTGTTTTTAGTAGAACGAATCGTGTAGTATACTTATAAATATTCATAATAACGAATTGTAGAGAAAATGTAAAATTGTTTATAAATATACCCATCATATTAATTATGATTTACAAAATAGAATTTTGTGTTTTAAAATTCTAAAATTAGACGATTCATGGGAATTAGAGCAGTCAAAATAGGTCAAAAACCGCGGGTCGAGCCCACATCATCTCAATATGGAGCAGATTTGGGAAAATATATTAAACCCGCAAATAAGCGGGCCACATGGATTAATTCGCAGTGGGTCATAGGTTTAATCGGTTTTCATCCGCGGATTGGCGGATCAGCCCGCATATTAGTATTTATTGATAAAATTATAACTTATTCAACATGTGGTAATT